CTTGTCGCTCAGCAAGCTTCTGTGTAAAGTCCGGTATACCTCAGGGTAGCCATCTGGGACCATTGGTATTTCTCCTTTACTTTGACGATGTTCACCATTTTATCACAAGGCCACGGCCAAGGTATCGGTTGCAGACGATCTGAAAGTTTTTCTGCGCATCCGCTTACTCGCCGACTGCCGTTCTTTCCAAAATCAGATTGACATCTTTGCTGACTGGTGTAGTCTAAACCGACAGGTGCTCAACCCAGCTAAGTGTACAATCATTACTTTCTCACGAAAGAAACAACCGATTATTTTCAACTACAAACTACTATTCACGACCATTGAATGGCTGCATTGCGTGAAGGACTTAGGCATTTTTCTGAACTCAAAGCTGACATACTCACAACATATATCATATGTCGTCGGCAAAGCGTCCAGAACTCTTGGCTTTGTCTTCAAGATTACTATGAACTTCACAGACATTTACTGCTTGAAATCGCTCTATTGCTCTCTCGTACAGTCTTCGTTGGAATACTGCTCTGCAGTCTGGAGCCTCAACTACAATAATGGGGCCGAGCGAATTGAGATACCCGCTTCGTCTACCAAGCTACGAGAATCGCTGCTAATTGATCAATGTCGAGCCCTTACGTATCCACCCTTACGTAATCGACTGCGAGGCAATTCTGCAACAAGAGAACATTAATGTTCACTACGCAATAGTCTTATGCTGAGACTTCCACTTTTTCGAACTAATTATAGCTTAGGGAGCGCTATTTACGGCTTGCAGCGAGTGTTTAACCGAGTAGCGTCGATGTTCGATTTCCACTTGATACGGAATAGGGTAGAGCGCTACTTCGTCGTAATCACCCATTTCCGTTCTATCGATCAGAAAAGATCAATAATATCAATGATTTCACCGTGCGCATTTACGCTCATTGTTCTCAAAACAGAAGAAGCGCTCCGAGCGAATCCCCTTTTTCTACGTTTATCCGTAGGACGAAGAAAATCTAATGGCATTTCAATGCGTTAGGACGGAATTGAAACTCGTAGAACGAATTAAGAATCAAGAAGCAGCTATTTTTTTTCAAATCTTACGGTACGTATGGAAAGGTGAATAAATGAATCATCTTTGACAGAAATATTCCATTTTTAGTTTAAACTCGTTAAGAAAAGAGAGGTAAAGCGCGGGTTGTGCTTATTAGGACGGATTAGATCAAAAACCCCATGCTTCGCCGAAGATTCTCTGCCTTTTTGCTGACCGAAGACGCTTGACGCCCAACAGCTAAGTTTAAAATTTGATTTGATTGACAATTCTCTCCTTGTTATTTTCGTATGTAACTGTTGTATTTGTAGTCTGTATAATCTGTACTTTTTTACATTACATCATTGGAACTATTTCTAGTCTGTTGATGCAAACATAACAAATGAACAAATAAACAAATATTTTCAAGATGAAGCTAATAATCCATTTTTGCACTTATTTGACGTATACCTAAGTATTATTTGAGTCCATATTTCTTTATACATTTCCCATTATTTTCCCAATGGTCATGTTTTGACTATTAAAAACATAATAGGAACCTTCTGCTATAATTTACTGAATAAATTGGTTATTAAACGCGTTTTAATAATAACTTTCATATTCGGGAGTTTGAAGCAAAACGAGCACCAAAACAAGTTAACCTAAGCGTGCGCAAGCGGAACCGATTGCAAGGAATTTTGACGTCGGACTACGCATTTGTGCACTATACTGGGGTGAGATTTGTTTGGTATAAGGATGAGAATTGTTAATCAAAGGTTAACTATTTAAAATTATCAACATGTTTAGCTGTACTCAACCAATCACGTGCTTTCTCGCTATGACTATCGAGAGAATAAAGAGATGAGCTAATTGCGCGAGGTTATAAAAGAGAGCGTTTTGTGACAGTTTGCCTGTGACGGAGAAAACTCGACACACCGTTAGATGCTATTGAAGGTCGATTTTTATGGCTCGTTCCAACATCGAAATTAGCACCAAATGGTAGGACATCAGCAAAAATGGAGGACAGTTCAGTTGAGCGGCACAAGAATGCAATTTTCCTAACTAATGTTTGCTTTAAATTAATATCTCCATTAGGTTTTTGGTCTTCGACAAATTAAAAAAAAAAGCTTACACAATTAAAACGCTCTTCACACTAGGATTATATTGCCGAGCTTGACACCGGTTACTACCTAGGTACACTGAAAACGAATCTTACTAAAAAAGGAGGTTCTTTTACTCATTCGTATGGATAAATTTCTAAAAGCGTAGATTATTTATGCGCTGAGTGACCCACGCATTTAAAAATTTCTCCATACGAATGAGTAAAAGTGACTCACTATCTGAGTAAGTTTTGGTTTCAGTGTATTTATTTTTACTGAGATCTCAGCTATACTCTATTTTTTCCTTGATTTGTTTTCCGTATTGAGTACCGACCGACGCCAGGGGACAGCTGTCACACCTGCACCCTACCTATCGACCCATCAAATCATGGACCGGGGACCAAAAGGCTTTACTTCCCTTCTAAAGGAAGGCGTGATCAGCAATTCTCTTGTTTATTAGCTGAATCTCGGCATGTTTATTACTGAGACCCAGTAACATCTACCCTTTTTAAATGATTTTCAAAGACGAATGTAAGAACAATAAATATGGGAAAACTGATTTGAAATATGTCGCTTACCTTTTGAGTTTTTCTCGGAAGGTAAGCGACATATTTCAAATCAGTTTTCCCATATTTATTGTTCTTACATTCGTCTTTGAAAATCATTTAAAAAGGGTAGATGTTACTGGGTCTCACAACACAAAATTTCGCTTTTTTTGCCTCGAAGGTTGACTTGACCCCTTAAAGAGCAATACATCGTTTAATATTACGTTTCCATAGCTTCCGAGACCAGCAAAAATTATTAACCATTTTCTATATATATATCTGCTCCGCATATACCTTATATAAGCTTATGCATTAGAGTGATGCAAAATTTGAAATTTTCGCTCCACAATACTTAAACGATTCCAAATCGGATCCTGACTAACCTCCCAAAATTTGAACCCATTTGGTGAGAAACTGAGATGGCACATACCATTTGAAGTTTGTATGGGAATTACTATGGTAAAACCAAGATTTTTGTTCATTTCTATCTAATGATTCACCATGTCGGTCTGTTTCAAAAGCTTTTAACTTTACTTGTATAGCTACAACTTTGCTGAAGACCACTTTTTGATTAAATGCAAGGATCGAAAGTTATTAATGGTTCAATGCACTGATGTCTTATGATCATGCTCAATCAACTGCTCAGCAGGCAACATTGGTGTTTCTGGGGCGTTAAATAGGCCACAAAAATTATGGCTACTATGTCACACTGCAAAATACAGTGTTGCCTACAGGGCAGTTGCTTGATCATGTCATAAGTTTACCAATCTCTTAAATAATTAATAACTTTTTCCTGTCTCGTTTTACATAGCAACGATCTTGAACAAAGTTGTAGCTGAAAAAAATTTCTATAAGAATGGCTATAGAACTGTTTCGCAGCTCAATATGGAAAAAAAAAAAAACTAGAAGGCAATGAACAAAAAGTTGAGATTTCCCCTAGTAATTTACATGTAAACTTCAAATGGCTTGTGTGAAGCCTGTTTCTAACCAAATGAGTTGTAACTTTGGGAGACTAATCAGGACCCGATTTGAAACAATTTAAGCACTGTGGAGCGAAAAAGTCAAATTTTGCATCAGTCTATTATACATTCACCTGTATGTATGCGATGAGCACATGACCAAATATAAAAGGTTAGTAACTTTTTGCAAAGAAGTTGAATAAATTTGCGGTCTTCGACAAAGCTGTTCTGCATAGTTCTCCCAATCTAAGTCCCAGGATTGGTAGAAAATTAGGAATTTGTGAGTTTTTGACAAGCAAATTAATAGTTTCGTTCCGTTTTCCATACAAACTTTAAATTTCTCCCGCAATTTTCAGATAGTAGCCAATATCGCTCAAATTTGGCATAGTTGTTGGGGACCTCAATAGAGACAAAAAGAGCAGTGTTGATGAGAAGCAAGAAGTAGTTAATTTGCACGCCACACCCCAATGATCCATGGCTGTGGAGGCAGAGAGCAAAGGGGAAGTGAACATCCGCAAACGATTTATTGAAACCAAAGGACGCTAACAGTTTCAAAATAACTGTAAGGCACACTGCCACAGCAACTAACGTGACAAGAATTCCGTCGTCGGTAACGTCCGATCCGCTCAATTCACAGTTCTTGCGTCTACAGTAAAATGTTTAAAAACAATGGAGACGCGTGGTAAGGCATGACTGTGACTTCTTCCTGGCTTTGACGTTCTAAAACTTTTGCCTACTCGCAACACAGTGTTCTGAAGAACTTCCACAGTTATTAAATGAGACCTACTCCATACCAACGAATACATGAATTTGTATATTGTGTGGCAAAAACAATGAGAGTCCACGGATGTCATGAAAATTTTCTAAACGGAAAATGTTCTCGACCGGAGCGAGAATCGAACCCGCCGCCTCCGGCATGGTAATAACGGACCTTTACTGACTAGGTTATCTGAGGCCCCGGATTTTGCATACATACATTAAAATGATGAAAAAATGTCACTTTATGCAGCAAAAGCACAAACAGTCACAAATAAGCGTCTTACATATGCATGATTTATCGATTCAATAAAAACCAAGCGCATCAGCTGGTATAATTCGAAAAAAATATTGGTCAAACTGATCTCATTCCATGCCACCATCGCTGCACTGCTAGTATCTTCATCACAACACACAAATTACAGCCAGTAGTCCCATAAAATGACATTCAATCACAATCAGAACACCAGAGATGGTTTTATTTGATAATCGTGTCCGCATAACAATCAATTTCCTGTGCGTTGTCCCCGTTCACATCTCTACACTTCATAGTCGTCTCCACATGCATGCAGGTCAATCCGAGAGGAGATTTTTGATAACACCTTTTAGCATACGCTAACGTACACTTTTCACATACCTCGTTTCTGTGGCGACGGTAAATTGGTCGGTGATTGCTGCTGTTGTAATTCCTTTTGTTGTTGTTGCAGCTGCTGCTGCTGTTGTTGAGATTGCTGCTGAGATGTCACAACGAGCACATGCGCATTTAGGACCAACACGAGCAGGAAAACTTGTATCCATATTTTCCTTAATTTGCGTAAATTATTCACTCGCAGCTGCACTTTCTGCATCATCGTTTCTCGACACTGGCCAAAGCCTTTGATAGCGCTAAAATGGACAGAACTGGGCACGTTGGATATTTTGCTCCAAATTTACACTATAGCACACACCAAATCGCTTCCGGACAGGGTATTTTCCGGTTATGTGGAACAGCGAGTTATTCTTTCTCTTCACCCTTCTCGAGGGCTCCAAAGGGGTAGCAGAGGTTATCGGTATAAACACAACACTTCACTGACACACTCGAGGCTACGAGGCGTGATGACATTCAGCTGGCAGTGGAAAGCATACGAAAACACTAGTGCGAAAGGACACTCCACAGAGCAACCAAACAAGCACACACTTCTCTTTTTTGAGCAAAAGCACGAGGGGGAACAGAGAGAAAAGGCTTTTGCAAACATAAAATCATAACAACTCAAAATTTCGAAGAATTATTTTCTCTCATCCTGTGTGCTCTATTATTTATTTTGGCCCTTCTTTTTTGATCATTAGCCAGCACTCATCGATTAGGTTGAACTTGAGATTTTTCATGAAATTCCAGGCAACCCAGAAGAAGAAGCACTTTGATTAAATTCAGCAAAACATCACTTCCCCGTGGAATTCAATCTCAAAGAACACTTCCCTCGAATAAAACTTCACAACCCATAAGAAAAGCTGCGGAAACGGTGAAAAGGAGGAAAATTAAGCGTTTTCCATTATACGTTTTTCTTTGCTGATGCTAGTATCCATCTTCCATGCTTACTCAGAATTTTCCACCAACACACACAAAAATCCACCAACACAAACGGAAAGAGCCAATAGTTCACATCCGACTGATATCCTTGCCGTGGTTTCACTACTGGGGCGAGAGTGAGTACCGTCGCGAACCGAAGATCAAACTAGACTGAGTTTCGCCACCGGAGACGAGGCAGTTTTATCGTTCCGTTTCGTAAACCGAGTAACCGACACCCAGCGAGCACCAATCCTGGATCATCGGCCTGAAGGTCGTTGGAGTGACATGTGTAGCAATATGCTCACTCTCCGGAGTTCATCCTATTGAATTGAACCCTTGTTGTACCTAGCAGTTGGCCCCATTCACGAGTGTTGATACACACATTGCCGTTGATGAGGATGCTGTTCACCGAAATAGTGAATCATAAACAGCTGATGGTGAATGATTGCGCATGTTTCCCAATCAGCTGATCGTAGACGATGCTGCCACAGCGAGAGATGAATTCTGTTTTGAAAAACACGGACGGCATAAGGCTACCACTTGGAACCTATTTGGAATGAACTTGTCGTTTGAAAACATCGCTTCGATGTAATTTTTGGTGGTACATTCTAACGATAACGGGATCCGAGCGCGTAATCTTTAGCAGAATCCTGAGCTGCATATGCATGGTCGATGACATCGAATGAAATTTGAAAATCGCAAAAACAAAGGTAGTAACCTACTCATAGACTGAGTCAAAGGAGCTTAAGAAAAATGCATGGAGTCAGGCCCAAGAATGTACATCAATGAATGATATCTCATTTAACAGGTCTCATTGAGACAAGAAAAAGTTGGTATTGGGCGAAAACGTTGTAGCATGGGAGAAAAAAGTTATTGATACAGTAAGGGATCGTCCATTTATTATGTCACACTTTTAGGGCGGAGGAGGGGTTTTGGAAGCTGTGACGAGCCTTACAAAGAACAATTAAGGTCCATATAAAAAATTTGACAATGGGGTAGGGGGGGGGGAGGGTTGAAAATGGGCCAAATTTGCGTGACATAATTAATGGACCTTCCCTAAGGTTGACAGTTACGCAATGTGGGCGGAAGTGGAACGGAAACGGCAAGTTTAACAGTTGTCACAGATGACATCATGATGCATAACCGAAGTCAATTTAGTTCTAACCCAAGGGGTAGGTCACTCCGCCCACCAATCTTGGGTCATCTTTTTTATCAGTGAGCCACAAGTGTGCCACAGGTGTGTCGATTGTGCCGGTCATAGAGCAAGCTTCGATTGTTTGTAAAATACCCATCCCGGCAACCCGGTATTTCTGACACCTTGAATGTTTGAATGTTCTGACACCTTGAATCGCAGGGATAAATCGGATTGATTTATGATGCGGGAAGTGGCGGGTGTGCGAATTTTTTTTGTTTTGTGTTCATAGGATAATAAAAGTCCTGTATTTTAGGGGCTTATAATGCCCTCAAAGGCATACCAGAAACCTAGCCTTTTGTGGTGCGAAATCAACGGTCTATCAGTGGCCGGAAAGAGTTGGAACCGGCGGGAAACATTGTTGGAGACCGACTATAGAGGACGATGAATAGACTTCTGTAGTTTGTTTTGTGTGAGCAATACTTGAATGAAAGGTACTAATGGGGTCTTATTAACTGCCTCTTTCTCGTGAGCCCACTCTAGAACCTACATTTCGTAATTAGATCTATTAGTGAACTGCTGGTTTGAGTTCCTCTGGTACATTCAATTAGAGGATGTTCCTGAATATGCAGTCAAGCAGCACGCAATGTTGTGAGTGCTTCAATTTTATTTACAACAATTCAATGCCTACAGTATTGTGCCGATGGTATGCCGAAGGTGCACCGATAGATGTGCCCAAGCTGTGCCGAATACGATTTCGGCACAATGTGCTGAATGTCTTACCCCTTGTTCTAACCAGAGTTGATAATAGAAGAGTTACGCAGAGTGAAGCTTGCAACACTGATGTCGATCAGTAAGCATTTTTTTTTTGGCAACCTTTGTTTATGTTTACAGCTCGGGTGACTTCACCTGGGTTAGGAAAGTTTCCTCTAGTTTTGATAACAATACTTCCCATGCAACAGAGTCAGTTTGTCTACTATACTCGATAGGTAGACGGTTTGACAGTTCGATAGGTAGATTTTAGTTTTAGTCTGCGTAACTCTTCTATTATCAACTCTGGTTCTAACTAGTTTTCAATCTGACAAGTAAGCTTACTCAGATCGGGCTTTTCCGGTTCCACTGTCATAGCACTTGGGTTTAATTACTATTTTTACTCATTTTGTAATACAATCAAGTTTTTCTATAATTATTTATTTATTGTCATTTGCCTTCGACTCTGTCGCACTACTGACTACTACTAACATATGTTCCTAATGCTATGGCGAGGGGGGCGACACATCTAAATCTCAAGTCTAGATACTCAACTAATCTCACACTAACGAATCAATCTTCGAAAAATCTTCATTCATTTCTCGCATCTACTTGCATCGCGCATCATCTTTTTGCAGGAAATCTTCAGAATCGTCATCAATCTTCTCTATATCTACTCAGCGTGCGCAGCTAGCCACAGCAAAACACAATCTTTCCTGCATCGTAGATAGAGTCGTTCCCCTAGTGCTATGATTAAAACCATTTTTAGCTTTACTTAAATTATGAACAGTCACTAATGTTGTAAGGAATTGGCATTGGCATTGGCATTGGCATTGGCATTGGCATTGGCATTGGCATTGGCATTGGCATTGGCATTGGCATTGGCATTGGCATTGGCATTGGCATTGGCATTGGCATTGGCATTGGCATTGGCATTGGCATTGGCATTGGCATTGGCATTGGCATTGGCATTGGCATTGGCATTGGCATTGGCATTGGCATTGGCATTGGCATTGGCATTGGCATTGGCATTGGCATTGGCATTGGCATTGGCATTGGCATTGGCATTGGCATTGGCATTGGCATTGGCATTGGCATTGGCATTGGCATTGGCATTGGCATTGGCATTGGCATTGGCATTGGCATTGGCATTGGCATTGGCATTGGCATTGGCATTGGCATTGGCATTGGCATTGGCATTGGCATTGGCATTGGCATTGGCATTGGCATTGGCATTGGCATTGGCATTGGCATTGGCATTGGCATTGGCATTGGCATTGGCATTGGCATTGGCATTGGCATTGGCATTGGCATTGGCATTGGCATTGGCATTGGCATTGGCATTGGCATTGGCATTGGCATTGGCATTGGCATTGGCATTGGCATTGGCATTGGCATTGGCATTGGCATTGGCATTGGCATTGGCATTGGCATTGGCATTGGCATTGGCATTGGCATTGGCATTGGCATTGGCATTGGCATTGGCATTGGCATTGGCATTGGCATTGGCATTGGCATTGGCATTGGCATTGGCATTGGCATTGGCATTGGCATTGGCATTGGCATTGGCATTGGCATTGGCATTGGCATTGGCATTGGCATTGGCATTGGCATTGGCATTGGCATTGGCATTGGCATTGGCATTGGCATTGGCATTGGCATTGGCATTGGCATTGGCATTGGCATTGGCATTGGCATTGGCATTGGCATTGGCATTGGCATTGGCATTGGCATTGGCATTGGCATTGGCATTGGCATTGGCATTGGCATTGGCATTGGCATTGGCATTGGCATTGGCATTGGCATTGGCATTAGAACTCCATATAGTTTATCAGACTGAATTTCAGAACAAGAATTTTGATCAACTGTTGAAATATGGTCATAAAAGCATCTTAAAGCTTATTCACGTCTTTTTTTTCAACCCATTCTATATGCTCTGAACTTGTTGTTTGGTCATGTAGTCCATCGGGATTGAGCTAAATCTGCCCGCAACGTTTACCGGACGTATTCTATGGTATAACTCTCCCTCAACTTACTACACACCATCAAACTCCTGTGACATTTATGGGAGGTCGTAGAGCTCTCTACATTTCACTTAAGAAAGTGTCCATGTCCAACTAGCAATCCTTCCAATCCCCAGCAGTTGCAAGGACGTGACCAGGACAGTTTTCGATTGTTGGAGATAGTGCTGCTTCCATCCAAGAGTCCGAGATCAAACCCAAAATCTCGGTGGAAAATTCTCTCAAACAATGTTGCACGACTTATACCAGCTGGAAGACGTGGAGGAGGTGAATGAACTGCGGATCAAAATAGCTGCTGAGAATCACTAACCAAGTTTATCAACTGAAACATAATTTGATTTAACTTTTCCATATTTGTGGTATTTATGATTTTAATAAAATATTTACAACAAGCGTGAATCGTGAAAAAGCTGCTGTATTTTATCTTTTTTGATTACTTAACCCTACAACGTTCATAAGGGAACCGTCAGAGAAATCTCACTTCAATTCACACCTTGTTAAGTTATTTGACATTTTTGCCTGGATCTACTCGGGTCTAATCCGGTCCACTGCAAAACATAAATATATTTTTCATTTTGTCTAATGACTAATTGCATATTCTGACACACGACTTTTCATGCCTAGTTTTTCAATTGTTATTTAAACAGTTTTATTTTAAAACCCTTATCAACTAGTCGAAAGCATCAACAAAGAATCAATCTCATCCCAATTCCTTCCGAAAGTTCCGTTTTGAAATATTGATTCTATGAAATAGGCCTGCCGACCCTTGCACCGAACCTTCATTAACAAAGCATTCGCCATTAGGGTGTCTAAGCGACCCTTCCAGTGATAATGCTTATCACAAAATATGAAAAATATCGATGTTTCCGCCTGAAAGCACACTCAAACGCACAGACGATCAAAGCGTAGTCAAAAAAAAAAATCAAGAACAAAGTGAAGGCACAGTCACTTTGCCTCGTTGATAAGTGTAAATCGGGAGGACATTTTTCGCATGGCCAAGTTTCGAGAAAGCCTAAACGATAGCCATTATCATAACCATTTTACGAGAGTCTTGCATGAGAGAACCAGACCCGTCCTAGGTACGTGTTCCGTCCGTCGGCGTCGTCATCGTCGTCACGTCAGTAACATTGTATACAGTTCAACATTACGGCTAGTGCGTGGAGGCGTGTACATGAAATGTGCCTAATGGAACATGAAAACTGTGATGCGACATTTGGAGCAAATTGGGCTGAGGTGCTATGATATGGGTTCT